CCCCCCACCCTGCCCCGGGGCCCACAACACTTCAGGCACTACTTGACTCTTTATCTATGGCAATAGCTCTCCCGTGGCTTCTGCAGAGCCACACCATTGTTTTTTTTATTATTATTAGCCATTTTAAAAATGAGGAATAAAAGGATATTTAATGAGCCACCCTGGCAGGCATATGTGTGCTTTGTTTAGCGTCCAGGGGCGGCAGAGGAGCTCCTGAAGGGCTCCTGTCCTTCAGGGTCATGCCCTTCTCTGCCTCCTCTTGATGGGGAGAGGGAAGGGGGCCTGAGACGAGGCAAGCCCAGCCCTGTTTCAGGGAGGCACCTCCTCAGGGTGCTTTTGGGCACACTCTGCTCCCACACAAAGTAAGTTTTTTTCAGGGCATGAGGAACGCAATGCTGGGGAAGGTGTCGCAGGAGCTGGCAGGGCTCAGGATCCTGTGCAAGATGCTGGGACCCAAAAGAGGACCTTGGCATTGTGCCGTGACTGCTGCTGGAGATCCTGATGCCCACAGCTGCAGCCCCAGGCGCTCTGCCAGCAGCTCCCTCCATGTGGGGACATGGTGCCTTTCCAGGGTTGTTCCTGGCCGTGCCAGGCCTGGGAGGCAAGGGGCAGAGGAGCACAGAGCCCCTTGGCCCAAGCCGAGGTAGGAGCCCACCTCGCCCCTGGTTGGGGAGGGGGGGAGCCAGGCCAAGCGCTGGGGCAGGAGCTCAGACACCAGACCCCGTCCCAGGCCACAGTGGGTCAGGGCAGTGCCGATCTTGCATGCCCACAGAGTCCCCCAGTCTCCCCTCACCTTGCCGTGATGGCCAAGGGCTGCAGCAGCCACTGCCACCAGCCCCTCCTCAGAGCAGAGATTTTAATTAAAAGGTGACTAAAAAAAAGCGGCCCTGATGCACCGGGTCGTTTTGGTATAAAAGGCTGAGGTTGGCAACCCCAGCACCAGCAGAGTCTGTGTCCCCCAGTCCCGGCTGGCTGCATGACACAAGCTGGGGGCTGGAGGGGGTGTCCTCTC